GTACCAATCCCCGTTTTAACCCGTGTCGCGGTACCATCCACCATTATGGCGGATTGGACAGGCAGGCAAGCCGAGTGGGCAAACACCGCTGCCGACCCCCGGTGGAGGCATGCGCACGCATGAGGTATGAGGAATTGGGTGGGAAATTGGCGAAAACTGCCTCTATCGGAGTGCTGAGGTTAGCGCGAGATGTAGGCCAGGGGGACACCTTAATCATAGCAAACTAGCCAACTAATGTATAAGATAAATCACTCTCGGCATGACTGCCAGTTTTTGTTCACTTTAGTATCCTGGCCGTCCCGTTAACCAACTCGCGTCCATTCAGGCTGACCTCACCCCAGCCTCCACATCCTCTTTCGGCCAACAGGACACGAGGTAGGCAAGACAAGTTGGCTCACTGATGAATGGAAGTACATCGGGATTTCATAGTCCAGTGGAAGACCTTGAGAAGAACCAATACAGACGAAATGCCAGCAGTACGTATAACTATAGTATTAGTCATCATCATCATTATTATCATCCTCCTCCTTTCCCTCCATCATACTAAACAAAAACAACAATATTGCATGAAACCGCTACGCATGGCATTTAAAGAGTTCCATATAAAAACTAAAAAATCTGCTCTCAAATATGTTCGGAAACTGTTTGTAGACCTTGAATAAGACGCTAAGGCGGCTGAAACTTTAGTTGAACCGAGATAAGAAAACCTTTTGGGAGGCAAGCGATATGGGGCGATACTGACCTTATTTAGGTATTACTGAAGGACTCGACAACTACTCATATCGAAAATGAGTAGCATCAACAACTTCAGTGACCGGCATATGTTTACTCAATCGACAATCCCACCATAAAAATGTGGCATACCGTGGATGCCACTTCTTCTCTGAGACCAACTGACATCCTTGGCCTTGTAGTGGAGTTGTAACGTTGCCACGATAGCTACGACATGCTACCGAATCCGACTAGGGGGGCTGAGGATACTAGTTCAGGAGAAGTTGAATCTGTATTACAGCCTGGATGAGAATACCTTTAGGGAAGCAAAGTCTTGCGAAAGTTATCCGAAACTTGATACCTATTCATAGGATTTAACCAATGGTGACTGGGTTTTTATTTAATAATTACTGTCGTCTATAAAATAAGTGAACTTCACCTGGTTTGTCAGACTTCATCATTGCATTGTGGGCGCTTCAAATGAACCCACCGACTAGACCGGATTGCTAGTGGAGTTTTCATTTCTACTGAAGAGATGAGGGCAAGCGACCAGTCATTTGGCCTCACCACAAGCCAAAGGAGGATTCCTTTGCAGCTGGGACTTCTGATTTGCGCGAACAAGTCGTCCGGGCATCGACCTACCAACCCGACGAGTCGGTGTGGGCTTTAATCTGTACCGCCGGGACGGATACAGTAATGGCCGGAAAAGGGACAAAAGACGAGGCCAAGCATGGTGGTCAGCTGCCAATTTTTGTAGAATTAATGAGTCTTCTCATGATTTGGTTACCTACTTTGTGCTTTTCCTCGCTTACTCGACGATGTGTAAAGTTGAACCAGATGTGGCCGAAGCATTTGCTTTTTTGAAGAAATGAAGACCAAGATGGTGAGGCCTCTGGTATGGTCGTAGCTTGGTGCGGAGAATGGCAAGACTCACTGATGATGCCGGCGAAGCGTTTAATCAGGTACCAAGTCCACTATCTTATGCTGGCAATCATGACAACTACTATGGCAGACTACTTCAGACTAGGTAAGTTCTACTAAGTCGTCCTGACAACAAGACCAAGTTGCGACAACGAAGTCAACCCACTTTTATATTTGCTTTTTTGCCTAAATGACCTTTTGAAAGATCCTGTAACGTTAAAGCTTCTCCTGCTGTGTTAGGTGTGAAAAGCATCACCAGGCTCAGGCTTGGAGACACTAATTTGAATGTTCGTTCGGCTTTTTCGCACTCTTTCTTTACCTATCCAATACCTGGAAGTAGTTCACATGCAATTTCACATATGTTTTCTTTATGTAGACTTTCTAATCTCGCAGACTTTATGCTATTCTATCTATTTTATATTAGCCATGAATTCACAACTTTGAGAATTATAGACTTATAGATTTTTACAGGCTATTTTGGCTTCATATGACCCAATTTATCTGAAAAATTATATGAGAGATTATTGGAAGCCAAGCCATTTTTTATAATTGTACCTTATGTGAGGCAGTCTGGTTGGCAAAGCCGAAAAGATCCCTGAGCACTGCGAGTATTTATTAGAACCTATGGCAGAGTTTGTATATCCTGTACTATGAGGAAATTCCATTTAGGCGCCGCAGCAACCATTTGGCTGCGAGCACGTAAGCCAGCTCTATTCAGCTTTTGGCCGAGTGACGTGTCCTTTCGCAATTGGAGATTGACAACGGTTCAGAGAGTAGTCTCATTCAGCTGCAGGCCGGAGCCATTTCGAGTGCAACCTTGCCGACCCGACACAAAGTCATTCCCAAGAAGCGAGATTCGAGATCGAGGGCGAATGCAAGGAAGGGCTTTTAGAAGTTCGGCCGATTCAAGGATGATTTAGCATTCTTCAGTT